AAAGAATTCAACATCAGTTAATGTATTTTAAAAATCATCATACTGTAGAGTTTATAGTCCATAGTCAAGAAAGCCATATTGGATATACGATCTTGTGAAATCAAACAGAAAATATTACTTGTGTGTTAATATCTAACAGTCCGGAATTAAATTTAGAGTGAATCCATGTTATATATACCAATAGAATATACAATTAGAAATCATATCTTATGCACTGAAATAAGATATAATATAGACATAAAAATATTAACAATTGTTGAAATATTATATCAAATCACTATTAATGTATGTGTGCATTAAAGACCAGAAATCATTGCTACTTGAATAGATCTATGATACCTATAAGTTTGCATAATAATACACATAACATAATGTGCTACAATATTTTAAGCATATTAAGGTTACTTATAACTAAACACTACCCAAACCAATAGTTCAATATTTGAAATTCACATATATATTTCATATTCATACATATAATCACATACAGACAATAATTTTCAATACCTTACATTGGAACTGTTGTATTTGTCTTAAATCAAATATGTCTTAAGTCCACTTTCGAACATATCTATAGTTTGAGATACCATTAAAGACGCAGATATATATACAAAATTTAAGATTCGAGTGCTTTCTTTTGATTATGATTGTAGTATTCGCTTTTATCGTAAAATGAATCATTGCATTAGCCGATCTAACTTATGATAATTATATCTCCTAATAATACTTATCTCCTGAACTGGTTTAAATACCGGTTTAGCTAGCTCATGACAAACTTATCTCCTAATAATACTTTTATCCTGAACTGGTTTAAATATCCGGTTTAGTTCAAGATAATTATATCCCCATTTAATACTTTTTTCTAAACTGCCTTATATACTTTGTTTAGTTCATGGTAATTATATCTTCTAATAATACTTTTCTACTGAACTGGGTTAAATACCCGGTTTAGCTCATGACAATCATATCTCCTAACAATACTTTTATCCTGAACTGGCTTAAATACCCGGTTTAGCTCATGATAATTATATCTCCTAATAATACTTTTCTCCTGAACTGGCTTAAATACCCGGTTTAGCTTATCATCATTGTATCTTCTTTAAATATTTTTCTCCTGAACCAGCTGAAATATGCTTTGAAGACCCTTTAGCCTTACTTTTTGTTAGTTATCACATTTTACTCATCGCTGCTTCTCGCCATGCTGCTTTACACATTTATTTCCTTATTTTAGTTTTTCTAGTTATAATTTTTGAAAGCATAAGATTCTTTTAAACCATTTAAACTTACATTAACTAGTTGGAATCTATCTCTTATAGTCGTTTCATTTCTTCATTTTAGTTAAGCGCAAATCAAAGTATTTAAAGCTTTTAACGTCTTCACAGCTTGCTAGTTTTAAGCTCAACTTTAAGCTAATGCTTTGCATTACTCGACTAAACGTCTTCACCACAATACTTAAGCAATTATAAGACGTGTAAACACCTTCTTTAATTCAATTAAGAGACATATTAGGATTGCAAATACTGACATGAGTCTGTTGGAACCATTTAGTTACTCATGTAAATTGTATATATTTTCCTTTGTAAGGATATCAGATTATATTGCTGTTTTACTGTTACACTTAACTTGCTATGAACTTTCCTAAAATCCTAACGGAAGCCTTTATTTGCTTTGATATTCGATATGCACATCTCATGTATTATGCATCACTTTTCAGTTCTAGATAAGAATTAAAATTTTCAATTGTTAGAGATTCTTTTTTCATTCGATTTTCCCTGTTTGATATTACAATTGGTTGATTAAATTTTTGTATTCATTCGCTGCTCATCCTGCGGCTACAAACGGGTTAAAAAAATAGATAAAAAAATAAATAATAAATACAATACAAAGTAAAAGTATGCAGTTATATGAAAAAAGCATTTCACATAAAAAAGTTATTTACATTTTCACATACAAATACAAATGAAAATATACGCTCACTTGCTTGCAGTACATAAAAAAATGATACATATTTGATAGTTTTTTAAGTTGCCACAAAACATAAACAACTAAAAAAACATACAAACACACTAGCACAAACACACACACAGAAACACACAGACACACACATACACATACATACACACTAACAACCATAAATCCTTTTGGCCAGGACTGCGGCGCCTTTCAGGTGAGCATTTAAATGCGCTTTTTCCATGCTCATTCATGCATTTTTAGCCTGAAAGTGCGCTGCATAAAAAGGTAACTAAAACGTTACATCTCAGTGGCCAAAAAACCGAAAACTACACTGTGAAAAAAAACTTACATAAAACTCAAAAAAAGTTGAAAAAATAGAAACGCTTGCAGTACAAAATTTTGTAAAAATCTTCATGGAAAAAATTGTTACAAAAGTAGCATCAAAGTGGAAAATAAAATTTATTCAGTTGGGCATACATAAACCAAAAATACAAAAGCGAGCACTGCCCGTACATCCGCGAAATTTGTATCTATGTAGGTACATAGTTACAGATATAAACAGAAGAGCCAAAATTCAGTTATTCAATTTGTACGTTTGTACGTTCAAAAAGAAAAAGATCAGCGATCCTGAATTTGGAAAACCTTGGTGTGATTAAAAATAGAAACCAACCTGTTTAGAAAATATATAGAAAAAAAAATGTGCTAGTAGGATTGTAATTGTAAATATTAGACGAGCCTTATATGTATGTATTGCAGCATACATAAGATTGAATTCAAAATTAATTCTAAAGCTCAATTTCAATGTTCAATGCTAAACCTAAAAAACATTGTACTGCATACTAATACATAGATACAATTGAATCTTTGGACTTCACATATTAATTTTTTTTTATTTAATAAATTTTTTTCTAAGTACAAGTTATGTACTTTACTTTGGACAGAAAACTGTATACCCATAAGCAACTATCTTATGATATGTGTACCTATATACAAAATACTAAGATATCTTAACAGATAGAAGGTAATGTTTCGTCAACTAGCTCTTAAAAACTTACAAATATGACTTATAACTCATAAATAAATAGACAAACACAAATTAGCATACACTCACTAAACTCTTGACAGCGTTTTTGAAATGTATCTATAGATGGAGTAGTCACCGGATTATTCGCATTCGCATACAATTATCATATGTTGCAGTATAAGTTTTTTGTGACCTTGCAAGATAATCATACGAAATCAAACCGCATTCTAAACAGAAAAAAATATGTAATACACATTATTATAATTATTATCTAATATTATAATAAAAATACAGATAAAGATAAATAGATAATAGCTATTATCTATTCTTATCTATTATTAGATGTTATTGTAAGTTATCGGTACTGGTGCTACACTTCAAGTAATTGTCACGCTAAAGAGCTGTTGCTTTCATTTAACTGCAATAGACTACCCATGTTTAGTGTAATCGAACTGAGGTTGTGGAAGGGTTATCTGAGGGGTCTTTGTTTATTGCTTAAAAGCGGATAAGGCCATTACTCAAATTTTTGCGACTGTTCAGCTGTGATGTAGGTGAAGAGGAAACTCTACGATCAGAAGTAGAGTCTATTCTCGTCTGAAATTATGATGTCTGCATCAACTGATATTTTGACTTTCATTCGAACGAAATAGTATTTTTCATATAATCAAGTTCAGTTAGTAGGACAAAGCATTGTAGCAAGGTTCTGCTCTCCGTGCACCAGTATCCGTTATATTCTATTCTACTATATTTTCTATTCTATGTTTTCCTATTTTTCTATTCTATTCTATTATATTTCCATTTATTGTAGGTTGTTTACCTAAGTCTCTTCAGACTTACATAAATGCATATTATTAATATATGCTGATATATATATTTTGATTTTTTAACAATTTTTCACAACATACATCCTGAATATTTGCGATATTAAATTCCTGGTTCTTTTTACATGTCCTCGTCTATGAAATTATGTATGTTCAAATTTAGCAGATCTACTAATATGTAGCATCTCTAAGACCTTATAAAGTTATATAACTTAACTGGAAATGAAAGGTGAAAATGAAATTGAATAATACTTCTTGAATAGCAACTGGATTATATCCAACACTTGCTTAAATTCTGCCATAAGTGTTTCTTTAACAACCGTATGTATTCCTTTGAGATAATTCCTGATATTTTATGGCTACGTAGCTGGCAATAGCCCAGGAGTCACACGAAGAAGAAATGTATTCAGAGTATCACGTTCCTTACCGAACGGTCCATTAGTGATGAATTGAATGATCTTCGTGACCAATTCTCTCCATCAATGTGTAAAACTACTCTTTCTAAAATATCTCGAGCAAATATCTCATAATAGTTAAATCGTATATCTTTTACTTTAATTGTACTTAAAAAAATATTAAATATATTATTAATATATATTAATATATTAATATATATATATATTAATATATTAAATAATTATGTTAATGTGTGTAACAAATTTGTCATATATCTTCGTCATGATATTGATCTATCATTTCTTGAGACCAAATGGCAATCCATAAATTAACTTTTTTGACAGTAACTTGTAGGTTAATACTATTTTACTGTCAAAGATGTGCCGGTTTTGTTTGTTGGCACAATAAGAAAAAAGCTTACAGTTTCTGCAGTAAGTTTTCACAATTTCAAAACATTAGTGTTGGATGATAACATTACGTGACATACATTTTTGAAATACGACTGCCAAATCAGAACTACGGAACAGATTACTCGTTTTATGGGAATTGATCCAAAAAAATAAATAAATTGTGTTGAAGATATTTAAACAGGTTGTATATCAAAACAAAATATTTTTAAATATATTTCTATTTCATTTAACGTACATTACATTATATATAGTTTCTTTTATATAAAATTCTTTTATAATAAAATTATGATACTAACTGCATAGCTTATTCTGTATTTTCTCTTTCAAATAATTAAAATCAATTTTTTTATTATATATAATATTCTTGTTTTATTTTAATCAATTTTAGTATTTTGTTTTTTCAAATCAAAAATTTAAAATGATATCAGTTGAACATTTTTGAAAAAATCGTGACTTTGGCAACTCTAAAAACTTTGACATTTAAATGGTGAGCGAATTTCAGATTTTTGTGTGCTCTCATATTTTTGTGAGATTTTGCACGTCAGTATTCGATTTGGGGCATGTCAGCTGTGTGTTGTTTACGTTCTGATTCTATACTCCGTGGGCATTCTAAAAGAAATTCAGTGAGATATATTGATTTTTTCATATAATAAAATAAAGCTTATTTCACCAAAATATTTAAACTATATTGAGATAAACAATCTATAAACAACTTGTGTGCGATTCGTTTTAAAAAGTGAATTAAAAACTATTTTTTTCGTTTGCGTAACTTACATGAGCCACTCATACAGCGTGGCATGTCGAATACCATCAACCGCTGCTTATTGCCAAAGCAAAAACAACTCAACATAATCAGCGCGTAGAATACTCACTCATACTTGCAATGTGCACTGATTATAGACTCAAGCAACAACAATAAATTTAATTTTATATACACTAAAGAAAAAATCCAACCAAAAATTAAAAAAAAAAATTTGACAGCAACAATAAAAATAATTTCCTTATTTAAATAATTAACTTATTAGTGTTTATTTAATTTATTTTATAATTTATTGCTTTTATTTAAATAATTTTGCTGTAATAAATTTTAAGTAAAATCTACAGTAATGATTTTATAAAATGTTTTCAACAAAGCTGCTTTATACGCAGCCATTAAAAAAATATGTACGAAATTTTAAATCAAATTTAAGACCAGTAAAAATGGCCTATAATGTCTACGAAGGACCTAATACTGACAAAACTTTACCACCATTGATCGTAATGCATGGACTTTTCGGTTCAAAACAAAACTGGAGGGGTATATGTCGCGAACTACAAACGAAAATCAAACAGCGAATTTACGCCGTCGATGCGAGAAATCACGGCGAAAGCCCACATACAAATGAACATAGTTCAGCAAATATGGCTGAAGATGTGGTGAAATTTATACGTCAAGAGGGTTACGCAAAAGCTTCAGTGATGGGACACAGTATGGGTGGGAGAGCGATGATGTACTTAGCTCTACAACATCCCGATTTAGTAGAACGTGGAGTTATCATTGACATATCACCGCTTTCAGTGCCTCATAGTGTATTTGAAATGGAGGCTTTAATGCTGGCTATGAAAAATATATCAGTATCAAAGGATTTAACTATGGCACAGGGACGAAAAATTGTTGAAAAAGAATTAATTGCTATTGATCCTGAAATTGTTCATTTTATTATGCTGAACCTTAAGAAACGTGAAAGTGGTGAATTTTATTGGGCACCTAATATAGACGCATTACTTAATAATTTACGAAAATTTTCGGAGTTTTTAGAACATGTAGATAATCTAAAGCCATTCACAAACCCAATGGTTTTTGCCTGCGGAAACAACTCAAGTTTCATGGATCCTGATAGTTGGCCAGATATTCAAAAGATTTTTCCAAATTCGAAATTACACTGGCTTGACACTGGTCATATGATACACATAGAGCAGCCAGTGAAGTTTGTGAATATAGTGGCAGAATTTCTAAATCAAAAAATTTAAAGACAATATATATTTTATTTAATTTTCAAACAATTTAGAATAATAACAAAATTTGTTAAAATAAATTATTTCGTGGAATAATCAGTTTGGGTAATAGTAAATATGAGCTTAGGCAAATCATCAGTTTTTAGTTAATATAAATAATTTATCTAAAAAAATGTAATAGTCTAAAAAAATATAATTTAAATCTATTTTTTGGTTTATATAACTAATGTGCCATAACGTGGCGTGGTAAATGTCCACAAAACGATTATCAAATCAAAGTCAAGTCAGACTTAACTGTGTTTTCTTGGGAGCGCATATGTATATATGCTTGATTCTTATGTAAGGGAAAACACTTTATAGCACAAAAGAGTATAGAAAAAAATGCCCATTAAAATGTTTAAATTTCTTACTTTTTTTTTCTACCAAAAGTTGTCAATAATTTTCCAATACATTTTTAAGAATGAAATGTGTGTTGCCTTTTAAGCGAATATAAAAATGCGAATTCGCTCCAAAAAAACACAGTTTTTATCAGTAAGTAATAATGAATTCACACGCGAGTTTTGTTTGTAATTTTAGCTGTCATGCTTGTAATTTTAGCTTTTCAATTGTTGTTGTTTTCAATGCAAAATCAAAATTTTTGACAGCTAAAATTACAAAGAAAACTCTCGTATGAATTCAGCATAAACTGCTCGCATTTGCTATTGAGTGCTCAGCCTCTCAAAATTTAAGTTCCAAACAAAGCACAAATTAAAACGTAATCCACAAAATAATTTGTTTTGAAATATCTGACAGAATAACAAAAATATTTTTTGAAACAACTTCTTACAAATTATTACGTTTTTATTACAATATAATATTAATAAACTTTGCAAATGACACTTTTATACAATGTTTTCAGCAATGCTTTTCGCAACGCAGCCACTAAAAATTTGGATTCGAAATTTTAAAACAAATTTAACACCAGTAAAATTGGCCTATAATGTCTACGAAGGAACTAATACGGACAAAACTTTACCACCATTAATCGTAATGCATGGACTTTTGGGTTCAAAACAAAATTGGAGAGGAATTTGTCGCGAATTACAAACAAAAATCAAACAGCGAATTTACGCCGTCGATGCGAGAAACCACGGCGAAAGCCCACATATCCACGCCCATAGTTCGGCAAACTTGGCTGAAGATGTGGCGGAATTTATACGTCAACAAGGTTACGCAAAAGCTTCAGTGATGGGTCACAGCATGGGTGGCAGAGCGATGATGTATTTAGCTCTACAACATCCCGATTTAGTAGAACGTGGAATTATCATTGACATATCACCGATTTCAGTGCCACGTGGTATTAGTGACATGGAAAATATATTGCTTGCCATGAAAAATATATCAGTACCAAAAGAATTATCTATGGCACACGGACGAAGAATGGCTGAAAAAGAGTTAAAAACTTCTATAGATCCCGATACTGTTAGTTTTATTATACTTAACTTCAAAAAACGTAAAACTGGCGAATTTTATTGGGCATGTAATGTAGACGCATTACTTCATAATTTACGAAAGTTTTCCGAATTTATGGAACATATAGATCAGAAGCCATTCACAAAACCAATGCTTTTTGCCTGCGGAAAAGATTCAGCGTTCATGGATCCTGGAAGCTGGCCAGAAATTAAAAAAATATTTCCGAATTCGGAGTTAGATTGGCTTGACTCTGGTCATATGGTGCACATTGAACAGCCCGTGAAGTTTGTGACTATAGTTGGACAATTTCTAAATAAACCAATTTAAAAACAAAATTGTATTTTTTTTTTTAAGAATTTTAAATGACAACGTTTACGTTTACATTACATTTTTAGTGTTAATATTTGATTCAATCATTAGCTTGGGCAATGGAATACACTATGTTGGCTAATGCGTATGGTTCGTGTTTAAGTGAATTTTAAAAATATAATACTTCTACTTATAGTACTAATAATACTAATATTTCTTCAATTTTATGATTGCAAGTATACTCTATTACCTTGGAGACTTAACCTATTTTCTTCTTGTGAAATAGTCTCATTACAGCCTCAGATGTATTTGCTTCTTGTTATGAAATTTCCAATTTCTTCTCCGAGTTTTAGAAGGGTCTTCATATGCATTTCGTTTTTCCTGTGATCACTGCTGAGGCTAACATCCTTATCTCAGAAGGTTCTGCCAACAAAAAATTGAAGAGTTCTGGACCATTTTTTTAGCCAATCGGGGTACATATAAAAATCATTAAAAACCCTAGGAAAAGCTGCCCTTTTGCTCCGTGTCGGATAACTTAATTAATATGGAGCTTGAAGTTTGTAGAACGTTAATGGCATAATTCCTTAAGAAATCGAGTTGTAAATATTTTTAGAACTGAGTTATTCAGTCATTGCATACTTGGAAGCCCTTGGTGATTATTTCAAATATTTTATTTTTAGTGCTGTAGTATCTATCTCTGTTTCTGTATGTTTTCAATAAGAAAGCGCAATTTTCTACTTGTATAGTGATATATTCAAATAAATCATAATCTATTTTTAAAAATTGTCTTGTTTTCAATGTAAGGTGTATTACTTTTCTGGGCTATCGTCATAGCGGTCTATGCCTTTTAAAAAAAATGTCTAAAATCTCAAATCCAACATGAATATTATAGAATCAGATATAAGTATACATATTGGAGACTGAAACAGGATTAGTACGTTATAAAGATAGTTTAATTTTAAATTAATTTTTTTTTTAAATATTTGACAGTAATGTAAAAAAAAATTTTTTTAATAACCATAATTTTTAATTTTCTATTTCTGCTGTCGATATAAAACACGACTTTTGAATATATTTTCTATAATGCTCCTCAATGCAGCCATTAAAAATATGCACTCGAAATTTTAAATCAAATTTAACACCAGTAAAAATGGCCTATAATGTCTACGAAGGACCTAATACTGACAAAACTTTGCCACCATTGGTCGTGATGCACGGACTTTTCGGTTCAAAACAAAACTGGATGTTAGTATGTAAAAAGCTGCAAATCAAAATTAAACAGCGAATTTACGCCGTTGATGCCAGAAACCACGGCGAAAGTCCACACATAAATGAACATAGTGCGGCGAATATGGCAGAAGATGTGGCGGAATTTATACGTCAAGAAGGTTACGCAAGAGCTTCAGTAATGGGACACAGTATGGGTGGCAGAGCAATGATGTACTTAGCTCTACAACGTCCCGATTTAGTGGAACGTGGAGTTATCATTGACATATCTCCACTTTCAATGCCTTCCAGTCTACCTGAGTTAGAAAGCTTAATGCTTACCATGAAAAATATATCAATACCGAAAGATTTATCTATAGCACAGGGACGAAGAATGGCTGAAAAGGACTTACAAGCTATAATAAGTCCCTATACTGCTAGCTTTCTAATGCTGAATTTTAAAAAACGTGAATCTGGTGAATTTTATTGGACGTCTAATATAGACGCATTACTCAATAATTTACGAAAATTTTCGGAATTTTCAGAGCATGTAAACAATTTGAAGCCATTCCCAAGACCAATGCTTTTTGCTTGTGGCACACATTCAGCTTTCATGGATCCTGAGAGTTGGCCAGCTGTTCAAAAAATATTTCCGAACTCGAAACTAGATTGGCTGGACACTGGTCATATGGTGCACTTGGAGGAGCCAATGAGATTTGCAAATGTAGTAGCAAAATTTTTAAATACACCAGCTTAAAAGTTGGTATTAGATTGTTTTGTAGTAAAAATGGAAAGGAATGGAACAGGATTTGTCTGATTTGTCTGATTTGTCTTACAAGCAAAGTGAACACTATCCTTTCATTTGGATAATTGAAGTATTATTATGATATAGTAAGTTTTTATAAATATTTTCAACAAAAAAATAATATTAAAATTGACAGTATACACAAAAATTATAAATTTAAAATTATTATTTAAATTAATAATAAATTAATAATAATTATAATTTTTTCGGTGTCATTGCAAAAATTTTTAGTGAAATAGCGAATCATGAATTTATAAAATGTTTTCGGTTAGACTGCTTTCAACGCGGCCGTCAAAAAAATGCGTTCGAAGTTTTAAATCAGATTCAAAACCAATAAAAATGGCCTATATATTGTACGAAGGGCCTAACACAGACAAAACTTTACCACCTTTAATTGTAATGCATGGTCTTTTTGGGTCGAAACAAAACTGGAGGAGAATATGTCGCGAATTACAGCCGAAAATCAAACAGCGTATTTACTCCGTGGATGCAAGGAACCACGGCCAAAGTCCACATACTAACGAACATAGTTCGGCAAGTATGGCCGAAGATGTGGCGGAATTTATACGTCAACAAGGTTACGCAAAAGTTTCTTTGATGGGTTATTGTATGGGTGGCAAGACGCTGATGTACTTTGCGATTCTACATCCTGATCTAATAGAACGTTCAATTTTTGTTGATGTATCACCGTTTTCAGTGCGAAGACCTGAGATAAAAAGTATAATGCTTACCATGAAGAATATATCGATCTCCAAAGATTTATCTATGCCAGAGGCAAGAAAAATTGTTAATGATAAATTGAGAACTGTTTCAAATTCAAATATTATTACTTTTATATCATTAAACCTCAGGAAACGTAGAACTGGAGAATTTTATTGGTTGTTTAATATAGATCCAATATTTAACAGTACACAACAGGTTTCCGAGTTTGTGGAATATGCTGACAAAATGAAGCCGTTCGTAAAACCGACGATTTTTATTTGTGGAAAACGTTCATCTTACATGGATCCTAAGAGCTGGCCAGATATTCAAAAATTATTTCCGAACTCGAAATTATATTGGCTTGATGCTGGCCATGTAGTGCACCTTGAACAGCCGGAAGAGTTTTTAAAAATAGTGACAAAATTTCTAAGTAAATAAATTTAAATAGTAAAATTGATAAATGAAAATATATTTGTTGAGGGATGTAAATTTTAATAAGTTTTTAGTTTAAATTGTAAAAATATAGAAAAATATACCTGTTATAAATTTCTACTATAGCAGTTGATGCAACACGTATTCCTTTTTCCTATTAATATCTTTCTACAATATAGAATATTTTTCTACATTTTTTCCCTTTCTATCTTTTGCAATTTATATCTTTCTCTTCTTAAATATGTCATAAATAAGTATTGTATGAAAAAATATTGGATTACATCGTCCAATAGAATAGAATAGAGTTGGGTACCAGATCCCAACGGAGCGAAACACTACGACTATAGTTGATCTTTTGTGCTGCAACAGGCCCGATCCGAACAGAAGACATTCGGCCATCCGAATAAACGCCAGAATGTCAGCCGTTGAGCACCTCCTAATGTCAAAAAGGTAAGAGAAGTTCTAGATCCAGTAACCTCCTTCTGGCACAAATCAAGGCTGAGCAGTCGGAGATAACATGATTGGAACTCTCGCCTGCTTCTAAGCAGAGACGACAATCTATCTCTTCGGACAGAACTATTTTGTTAAGGTGGTAATGCAGTCCATGGTGACCCGTTAAATATCCCACAAGCAACCTCAACTCCGTTCTGCTGAAGAAGCATACCATACGATAATTATAGAGACAAACCAGCTTATTCAATAAATTTACACCTATTATTATTATATGGATAAGAGACAATACATTGCGACCTAAAAGATCTATTGTGCCTATCATTAGTAGCCTTAAATCTCTATATTCCCTGAAATACCTTCCTGGGTGTTTTTTCCGCTTGTGTATCAGTGCGATTTCACTCTCTTCTCTACAGTAACTGCAGTCTGAGCTGGATTTCATTCCTAACTTTGTTAAGTGATTATTTAATCAACAGTGACCGGTTAGTATTTCGGTAATAATTCTTAAGTAATTCTTTGTTAATTCTATACAATCCTTAAAGTGATTGTGATAGATTATAATAGTCTTGGTAACCCATCCCAATACAGTTTTCTTTTCCTCTGCGCCGTTCAAAAGAAGGGATAGAGTTCTTTTGTCTAGACCGCAGAAACGTTCTGCGAAAGGTCTATCATCGTTGCAGCCGCGACTCTTTTTTGTGAGTTTGCCTGGTATCTCGCTGCCTTGTATTCTAGCATGCACCGGAAGTTACACCAAACATGATAAAAATTGTTACTTACGAATTAGAAGGCGTAAATAACCAAAAATACTTAGGAAAGGTAAAACGAAGGTGATGCGGAAAATATTTGGGCAGGTACAGAAATCGTATCAGGTAAAATCATGTAATTAATTATTTGGCGTATAAATAATCTACATTTGGAGTGGATAAGCATTTTACACGTATGCCTAAAAGAAAGGATATCATCACAAATATTGAAAGACGATTTTAGAACAAATAGAAAAAAAATAAATATCAAAAAAAATTTGATGTTAGAGTGTATATTCGCTCATATTCGAATTATTCGCTCATGTTGGAACCTTTGGCTGGTTTGAATTATTCAAATATTAGAGTCAGTATCAAAATTGGTGCTCATATTCAAATTATGCAAACTGTTTAAAAATTTGAGTTGTTTGAATTATTCGAAAACGAATAGCACTAGTAAATAATCTTTGATTCAAGAAAGATAGAAAGAACAAACTATATAGCTTTTTTCAATTGTCCATAAGTCACGGTTCACAATATTAACCCAATTAGTTTTATTACTTGTGTCTGGTTTGTGTGTGCCCCCGTGAAGTACCTAACATACGGCGAGCACAACGAGTAATACCAACGTGTCAAACAGCAGTCATTTGTATAACACTCCAAACATTTTAATATATCTAAATTCCCATTTTCTTATTTTGAACAATGCAAAATATTCATTTAGCTGAAGACACTGCTGCGGTTTATGCAGTTGATTTGAATATAACCCACAGAACGTTAAAACTTTGGATCTTACATCCACCATAAGTATGTGCAGGTCATGTATAAAAATACAAAATGTACATTACAAATAAAAATAATCACTTACAGGATCATTCCATATCACAGACAACTGCATCCAAAATAAAATAACAGAAAAAAAAATTGAACAAAATATGTCTGCATAACAATTGTACAGACATAAAACTGCTGAATGGACGGACGAACGCTAATGCCTTAAACAAACAGACAGACAGACAGTCAGACTTAAAAGAGTTCATAAAAAAATGCAAAAATGCGCTTTGTTAGCTGCTGAATAAACAAGCATATAAACAAAAATATATTTAGAAAATTAGTCAGACACTAGTTTAGTTGGAAGGACAGGCAGAGAGACAGTTAAACAGACGAACATACTTGCACTTGGGAAAACGTACTGTACATACATTTCGAATCCAATGCTTAAAAAAAAACAGAAAGGAGCAACTATTACTACTTCAACTACTCGCTTTTACACATTCAAACCGAGTACCAAACCAACTTCCAGCTTCGAAAAGAGACAAAACTGCAGCCTGCCTGCAGAGCAAACTTAAAAAAAAGAAACAAAAATAAGGAAGATTTTAAGTATCTCTGGAAGTGCTTGAATATTGAAGCATTCACTCAAGAGACTATTGAAGTGTATAATGGACTGTGTATTGCTGATTTTAGAGTACATATACGATTACATATGTAGAGCCGGGCGTGCATTTGTCCAAATAAGAGGATGCTGTGATGTGTGCAAAAAAATCGAGAGTAGAAATCAATGACATATCGTAGCACCACTTAAGCATTATTACATTTTGACACTTGAGTGATGAGTAAAAATGCTGAAGGGATTTAAGATTTTTTCAAAAATATCTAATGCAAAAAAATTTGAAACTAAATAAAAGCAATAAAAGTAAGATTTGTTTTTCTATCTTCATTAGAAACATTAAGAATACAGATATGTTATATATATTGTAGATGCAACTGATATTGAATATATCTGTCCCTACCTATAGCTTTAAGCATCAGAGTCGACTAACAAAATCGGTAGTAACAAATTCACGAAGAAAAAGAAAATTCTATTCTTTTAATCTTTTATAATCTTGTAATCTTTTATAAAAGTTTTCAGATTTATTTAACTAAAATCAGTCATTTAAATATATATATATTTATTATTATGTTGAGGCTGCGCTGTTAGAAAGCCCTGCGCTAATGCACATACGCAATAGATTCCTAGGAATGTATATTCTTACGAAAGAGGAAATAAAACTCTGTAAAGTAGGTTCTATACTACTTTTTATTGACGCAACAGGGCTTATAGACCTACTCTAAGCCCAGAAGGGGGCACAATAGATCCGACGGTCGCAATACTACATCCCCTAACAATAATAATTATATTATGTTGAGGCTAGTTGAGTCAGTGCACCTGAGCACTTTTACTCTCTATTAACTGCGAGGTTTCTTCAAAACCCTTCTTTGCGCCTTGACTAGATTATTGTTTATCACTTCATTAGACTAAGCAATAATTGGCCTCAGATCTGCATACCTCCCCGATATTTAACGAAAATCGTTTTAAACTGCTGTATTGGCTGTGTTACTTATGGCAATGCTACTCCTTCCACCATTACAAAACTTCAAACTTGTTAGAATATTGTATTGAGACGTGTGCTTAAAACTCGATGTTATATCAAAAAGGAAGACATACGTAAGGTCTTAAGAGTGGAGAGTGTGCAAAAGTATATCAAAAACAAAGCGCTGAAATTGTTCGATTCTGTGGTAGCACTCGCTCAAATCAAAAGCAATACATATTCTATCAGGAAAATATGCTCAGCTTTAACTTCTATAAAATCATAAAAATAACTTATCAGAGTTCAACGGATCATCTAAATGGTCACAGACACTACTGAGTAAAAGTGCTTTAGACCCTAACTCACGTTTGTTCAAGCAAAGAAGAAGACTGAGGGTTAATTACGATGCGGTTACTCGTGACATAGCAATCAAAAAAAGGTAATACTGATTCACTTGTAGGAGTGTTAAATATAACAGCTCTAGGAAGTGTGACAAATTTACAAACAGTACATTCATGCTTATAAATTCGAAATATATATATTAATAAATAAACAATAAACTTAGTAGCACAAAAAATTTAAAAAAAATTTTAAAAATTTATCTGTTAAATTCAGAAATAAAAAAAATTGTTCTATCGCACTCAAACACCTAATTTTTAATTCAATCGTTATCAAAAATAGTTACACAAAGAAAATAAATATTTCAACACAATAACTTCAGGTAGCAGCTAAAATGAGTATTAACACAGAAGAAAGTTCTGTAGAAAGTAGCTCATTAAATGACACCAACAATTTGCCTATGGAAGACGAACAGGCTATAGTTCAACTTACCAGAAAGGTGAAGATATTAGGCTCTATGCTACGTCGCGATCTGCTAGCATTAGATATTAAATGGACTTTGTTCGTGGCGGCTTCAAAAAATTATCGCTACGAAGAGTTATTGAAGCCCTATCCCCCTCAGTTTTTTATCGAGCCAGAAGGAGTAGATATTGATCGTTTGCTATTAGTAATCAATTTGACTCCAAACCTTATATGCTTATTGAACGATATCAATCAAGAGAATTACAATCAATGTGACATGGAGGTTATAGATTTATTAACGTGGGTATTGATTGACAACAAACAACCGGTTTTTCAAAGTATTACGATTGATGCCTTCGCATATTATATGCATAATATTGTACAGAATATTAATATAAAAAAACCGGATCATATATTTGAAATAATATATGACAAGTCTGATAAGGTGGAGCAAGTATTTCGATCTCGTGGTGAAGTATATGGGTTTAAGTTTTCATATTGTGGTTATAAGGCAGAATATTTATATTCTGTTTTTCACAATTCTTTTTATAATTGTGGAGTCTTGCCAGATATACTGAGTGCCGCCAATACATATTTGCACTTTACATCTGAAATAGCAGTAAGTCTTGTACATAGTCCACCCACACCATGTTGGGGAAAATCACAGTGCGGTTCTGTTTTGAGATGCGTACTGTTGTGTGAGTTCATAAATATGCCTCAATACGTTAAAAGTCAAATCGATGTGATCAAGGAGTACTCATACTTAGATATATATATTAATAGAGGTGATATTGTGCGTCCACGTTTTATGTTGGTTTACGATGATGATAAGTTGTGGGAGGAGGAGCAGTCAGTCGAAGAGGATGTTAAAGCGGATATTGAAGAGAGTACATGGTTTTCTAGAAATCGTTTCGGAGTATTGGCAGGACTTTGTTGTTTTGGTATATTTATATTTAATGTATTTCATAAGAAAGGATGTGGAGGTGTAATCAGAAGATTCAAGTGCCTTAGGGGAAAACATTTTTTTAAGTCTCTTTAAAACAAAAAGAAGTCCATTTTGTACGAAATACTTGTAAGAAATTTTATTTAAATTATATTTTTATATACCATTTTTTGTGCACATGAAAAAAAGTTTCAATAAATAGAAAAGTTTATTTAAAAAATTTTATAAGAACAATTAATAATATTATATACCTATTGGTCCAATTAAAAATATAAGTTATAAAAAATATTACTATCATTACCATCATAATCATGTGATAACTATTTAAATTGTTACAACTGTTTAAAATTTTATTTTATATATTGGTAGAATGATATACTTTTGAATAATATTATTAAGGGAAATTATTTATTAAAGTTTGTTCTGTGTAATTTTTCAAAGTCGTAGCATTTGTTGGATATTTGCCTTCCACCGTAATCTAATTAACTCAACATATAAAGTCTTCACATTAAGTTTAAGGTATTAGATGTAGGAATGAAAAATATAATACTGAAAGGCAGGCACACGTAACTAGGGACGAGAGGGCTTGAAAGATTACAACCTTCAAGTAAACCTTCAAGTAAAGCCAACCTTCAAGTTGGTAGAAGTGCTTTCGTCTTCCGATGTCAATAGATATTATTTGAAGCAATATTCCGCAGTATTCAGCAATATATTCTTCTTGAGTATATTCTACTTAAATATATTCTATTGTGTTTGTGAATTTTTAATATTTGTTGAAATAAAATATCTCAAAGTCCATGTCATTATTTTCAACATTTCCTCTAACTAAAATTTTACAAACTTTTTTTTAGCTTTCAGTGAAATATAAAAACAGTGTAGATACTTTTGTTTATATTAGACAAATTGCAGTCCAGACATTCAATCAACAATAGATATAATATTTAAAAAAAAAATATAAAGAAAAAATATGTTTAAAGGGAACTCAGTGCTCTCGTCTACCGAATAACAAATAAACTGAAGGCAGTTTCAGTAGCAATTAAAATACAAAACGTTTTATTATTTCTGAAGCTCACAGAATTTCATAATCTTTCCATAATTCTACTTAGTTCCAAAGTTTTAAAATGATTTCGCCTTTTATTGTTCGTAGGAGTTGTAGGTTGAGTACGAGTATTTATTTTTCATATTTGCAGAAAATTTTCAAATAAAATTTACTTGAAAGCAGATTCGTTCCATTAACATTCCAACTAAGAAAAAGTTTTGATCTTTTCCACTTAAATAATGTAAATTGCAATACTTAAAAACTGTTCTTATTTCTTGCATTATATATATAAGTAAATTTTAATAAAAAATATATGTATATATATCCATAAATATAATGTATATTCCTACGTACTCTAATCGGTTTATTAAGTATGCAAAGCTAAAATAACTACAAAGATTAATCTTTAGTTAAAGAAATTATTTTTCAGTATGAACTTCCTAAACTTAAACACACTAATTCCAAGGATACTCCACTATGTGGTTTCCAATCTAAAGTAATTTTTCTAAAAGTTTCCAATATATATTAGCTATAAAATCTACTTTTCAATTTTTTTGTGTTAAAGCACTTTAATAAAGTACTTTAAATAGAGAGTTTACTATTTTTAACGCTACAAAGGATTTAATTTTGTTTTGAAATAAATAAATTACAATTCTCATTCACTTTTGTTATCTCATGTTATATATATCCTCTTCCTATAATCTGTAATATTGGTATTAATATAAGTATTGATTTCAATTTGGTTTCTAAATTAATATTTTCATTTAAAGTCAAAATACCAAGAAGTAATGAAGCTTCTTTAATATAATTTAACTTGACATTCAATTTCTCATTATTTATTTGATGAAATTTTTTTCGTTAGTGGAATCCCAAACCATAAAGTAAAAACATTAAATATAATTTTCTGTACTTATTTGAAAAGGCAGTAACACAAAATCATTTTCGAATTATCGTAACAACAGTGAGGCATACAATTCTCATTTACTTTAGCAATTCAACTTTATATATACTCTCTCGACAGCTTGTTTGATATTCAATGTTAATATAATTTGTGGTGACTAATACGGATTTAAATATATAAATACATGTATTAATAGCTAGCTAACAGTACTGAAAAATGAAAAAATTATTGAAAAAGATAAATGACAATTTCAGAAACTTAAAGATAGAAGAATTTTTTGGAAACAATTTATTTTTATGGTAATATAGAAAACGACTTGATTAACAAATTTGTGTTTGGAGCCCCTAGTAATGTATAGCAAATTATTCAGCTGTTATTCAGGCTTCTTTTTTTTTTTTTTTTGATAACTCCATAATATCCGATATCCGATATATGTTCCAGTTTTATTTTTAAAGTATATTTTTTTTTTGTTTTAGAAAAGTAAAATGACTGAAAGACAACAAACCTATAATTTAGGAAAATGATCTCTACGAAACACACGCTGTAAAAGAATAAGCAGAGTTTTATGTTTTACAAGAATAATATAATTTTTTAATGTTCACAAATTTATTGGATATCTGTAAATATATAAACTCTTAAACTTGTTAATGTTCACTCTTATAGATTATTATTAAACAGTTATATTGATTATTCAGATATTTTATGAACCAAAGTTACTAGATTATTCTATTAGTCGGATAAACAACGAAGTCTCCGAAGTTGAAAAGAATTGGATTTTTTGCAAATCCGTGGTATCCAAAATTGAGTATCCGAAAGATATCTTTTTTTAAAACCATAAATTTCCCCTATAGCGGTGCGATTGGACTGCCATAATATCCTTCTTTATAATTATGAAAATATTTATCTCGTTAATAGTGTGTAGAGTACAAACGTATATAGAGCATAGATTAGAAATAATAGATTGGATTTTAATAGAGTAGATTACAGATTAGATTAGATTAATAGATAGATTAAAGATAACTCTGTTATAAGCTTTGTAAAAATTGTGTAGGTAACAAAGTACCATTTTTGTATTTAAAAAAATATACTTATTGTAGTTTATGCAGGACAATAATTAACTATTTATTATTTAATAATTTTATGGCTTTAACGCTATAAGTATATTTATGGCTTTGTATTTTAAAAAAATTGTAGACCAAAAATATTTAATATATATTTTTATTTATTTTTTTAATGGTTCGAGTATTTCGCATGAAAGAATATTAATTCGTGCAGCTAACAAATTTATTATAAAATAAAGTAAATAAAATGAAATTGAGTTAATAAATACAAATAAATAAAATAAATGAATAAAATATCATATTTTTCGGAGTTAATTTATTGAATATTTCGAATGAATATTTATGTTTAAAATTTATACCTTTTTTTCCCATTTAAATCCGTTAAATGTGATCCGTCAATCACAAATTCTATAAGTTTTATTTTATAAAATAAAAAAAAAATTCTCTTTCAAATTGTATTTAAATTTATAATAAAATTAATTATAATTTAGATAATAATCATAAATTCATTTAATATGGCTTATATTACAGACGATTGAGTGCTTTGAAATGAATATCTTAATTATTATATACAAGTTTTTATGTTTTTTTAAAAACCTAACAAACTTGTTGCAATACTTACTAAATAAACGGACTCAATATATTAAGTTAATATTATTATAAATATTATAAATAATTAATAATTATAATGTAATATATAAAACTTAAACCAATCAAACTCAGCGAAAATGAATTCGACAAATATCAAGTTCTTTATATATTTCTTCAATCGTAAGCAACCCATTAATAGACAATATCCACGAAAATCATGTCACACGTTGAGAAATTATGGAGAAAAAAAATGTTAAAACACAGACTAATCCATTTTATTAAATTTTCTCCGTTTTTTGGGAAGCGAAGATTTTTAGAAGACTACAAAAAATTTAATTTTGCTTTAAAATAAATTAATTACAATTCTCATTTACTTCTGTTATTCTACACCCTATATATTTAAAGTCCTGCACGCTTTACTATATTTTAATATAAATTGTAACTTGGTTTTGTTTAACTGTTCCTAGCGGATATCATAGTAATTTAATTGATCTAATTTCAACAAACAACATAGAAGTTCTAAAATTAACTCCTTCTAACTAAATAGTTAAAACGAACCAATTTTTCGAATATGCAATGACTTTACTCATCACTTTTATAAAGAAATGATGCAATTCGTTCTGGATTTTCAGATTACAACATTTTGGCCTCTCCAATCAGTTGTTCAAAGAATCATGATTGATTGTCTATATTATCAAAATAAATTAGAGCACCACTGAAGACGTAGTCTGCTTTTTACATTTAGTTTTTTAAGAACAGAGACATTAGCACTGTGAGCAGTCTATGAAATGCTTAAAATTCTTCGACATACTCACAATATATTATTACTACAAATATAATATATAATTACAGTTTGATATGCATTGAAAACTACTTTCATAAATCAGTTTTTCAAATTTAGTTCATTAAGCATAGAACTATCAATTCTCTGAGTAGTCTCTGCAATACTCAGCATTTTCCGATAAACTCACAATCCTTCGAAGGAACTATCCTTAAGCATGGAACTATTAATTTTTTGAGTAGTGTCTCTTAAGTACTCAAAACTCTCCGATATACTCACAATTATAATATATTACTACAGTTTGATAAACATTGGAATCTATTAAGTCTGATTTCTGCACATAATGTTTGATTTTTCATACACGGATATGTTGATTCTTTGAGCTTTATATAAAAGACTTAACTTTCTCCGAAGTATATTTAATCTATTGTTACTTTAATAATGTAATATTACTACAGCTAGATCTACGTTTAAGACTAGTTTCATAAGTCTGGTTTTAGCATTTAGTTTTTTAAGCATGGATATATTCATTCTATGAGTAGTTTCTGCAATGCTCAAAACTCTCCAATATACCAATAGATGGCTATGTACCTAATATTTTGAGACTTTGGTAGCCACGTAAAATTTCAAATGTGAAACTACTTCAGCAAGGATATATCAACACACAAATCAGGTTTCGGAAATACAATTGGCTTGGTCACACTCTTTGAAAGCCATATGACAAAATATACCACGCAACATTTCAATGGAA